GGTCTGAGAATGAGGAAACTGGATTCTAGTCTTTAAGTGTCGTTTAGATTGTTCCATTAACTTTGTTTTATCACATGTAAGTTCTTCCATTTCTTTTTTATTATTATTTTTAAATCTTCACCTGAGGATATGTTTATTGATTTTAGAGAGCAAGGAAAAGGAGAGAGAGAGAGAGAGAGAGAGAGAGAGAGAGAGAGAGAGACATCAATCAGTTGCCTCCTGTTCTCACCCTGAATGGAGATCTTATCTGCAACTTAGGTATGTTCCCTGATCTGGAATCAAACCCACAACCTTCTGCTGTGTGGGATGGTGCTCTAACCAACGGAGCAACCTGCCAGGGCTCTATCATTTCTTTTGTTCATTGTCTCCATTTGTAGAGGTTGATTCTCTTGAATTCTTCATGTTTCCTGGTTATGAGTTTATCTTTGTGGTTGAGACTCCCTGTCAGATTCTCTGTCACATCTGCCTGCATGGTCCACCTGGGAAAGAGGCATGAGTTGCTCTTGTAACGCACATTCTGCCCTATCAGTAAGAGGAAGGACAGGCGTGTCCCCTGGCAGTGCACCTTGCTGGTTGGCGTTAGATGTTGGTACTCACCATGCCCTCCTAAGGTCATAGCCACTTGCTGCTCTGTCTCTGACCTGATGGAGCCTAGAGGCAAACACCCTATCATTGCTGCCTGACTACTGTTGCTGTGGTATCTACACCCTGTCTGTTGCCCTGGACCCCTTTCTGCTGCAGATTTATTGGGCCTCCAGGTGCACATGCCCGTAGTCTGCTCCCACCTTTCTCGGAAGCCTCAGATGAGTCTGGACTACAGATATTCGATCCAACCTCCTTAACTTTTCTTCTTTAAGTTATTTATGACCAAACTCTTCAACTAGTTTCTAAGCACAGCTATTTCTAGGAATTTGAAGGGAATTGTAACTTGTCCTTGGTTCACCATTTTGAAATGAAAGTCTCAGTTTCGGCGAAACCATCCAGGTATCTCAGAAGCCAACCTGGTAGTGGTCATTGGGATTAGTGCTTCTTTCATCTGTGCCGACAGCGAGATAAGAAGAGGATGAGACAGTGTAGTTGGGGAGCAGGAACAATTTATTTTCTTAAACCTGATTTCTCCTTAAGAGTGGGAAGTTAGCAGTCTGCATCCAAAAGAACATTCTTGGGCTGTTGGGAAATGGGCCACTCAGTGTCAGAAACACATTCAATGTCAGAAAAAAAGATCTCTGCTTTTTGGAGTTTGGAATTATATGATCCCCAAATGAGTGAATTTCAAGCCCCTGGTTCTGGCGAAGCTGCCTGCTCTGGGCCACGCAGCCTGTTAGTTCCAGGCAGCTGGAGAAGTTATTGACCCTGGAGTCCCACCCAGCCGAGCAGAGGGAGCCAGCAGGTACACCACCCATTCCAGCTACAGCTGGGAAGAAGGGATTCCAGGATGGGGAGGGTCGGCCTGAGGGGCTGAGTCATCAATGCAGAGAGCATTTCAAGGGCTCTGGAATTCTCCTTAGGCCTAGGTGGGGAGACGAAGCTGGGCTTTGATCCCCGCGCAGGGGCAGACCCTCCTGAGAGCGATTCCAGTCAGAGGCTACTCTATGTCATGGCACAGAACTGCAAAGTCCAGAAAAATAAAAAAGAAACCTTTTAAAGTTCTCTCTCCTTTTAGTGTGAGTATATCAATCTATTCAGATACAAGGTATATGGGATTTAATAACTTAGTTAAGAAAGCATTGCTTTACTTCACTTCAAGAGGCTGTATAAAAAGATTCAGGACCACTTGAGCATTTTCTAAAATTTAAATGTGTGTGGCCTACACAGAGGTGGGGGTGGGTGGCTGGACAGAAGGGATTAACTATGGGGCTTAAACTTCAGAGTCCTCACAGGGTCCCCTTGCAGGACCCTGACACTGTGTTCCCCTGGCTGCAGTAAACAAGAGGAAGCAAGAGGAAAACCAGCGTCTCCTACTACTCTGACTTCTCTCCATCACCATCCCTGCATATTACATGGCATTCAAGGGCATTTTGAGATCTGGCTAAAGGGATGTTAAATTAAAGATACATTGAGACTGAGTTCAGTGTGATATATTTATATAGTCTGCAGACACTTCTGCTACAGTTACACTAGCTGTTTGAATATAGGAATGGCTTCCAAGAATGCTCTTTTAGTCCTGGCCAGTTTGGCTCAGTGGTTAGAGCATTGGCCTGAGGTCTGGAGAGACCCAGGTTCGGTTCCCGCTAAGGGTGCGTACCTCGGTTGCGGTTTGTCCCCGGCCCTGGTTGGGTTGTGTGGGTGGCGACCGCTCGATGTGTCCCTTTCACATTGATGTTCCTGGGGGTATAGCTCAGTGGTAGAGCATTTGCCTGCACATTGATGTTTCTTTCTCTCTCTCTCTCCCTCCCACTCTATCTGAACAAAAAAATGGAAAAATGTCCTTGAGTGAGGATTAAAAAAAACACAAAACAATGCTCTTTTAAAAAACTGATATATAACTCATATACCATAAAATTGACCCTTTTAAAGCCTACATATATACGCAGCCCCTCAAAACCAGGATCCACCCTGCCCTAGGGCAACACTTTCAACCCACTTTCTCTGTCGTATACTTGGAGTTTGTATGAAGAATCTCCTCCAGGGAATTATATAGCAAGCTGCTGAGTTTGTTGTCTTCCACCCTTTCCTTTCTCCGCTTGGGAGCACTTTCAGGAGAAACTAGCTCATGCAACACTTTCATTAAATGTGCAATACCTTGAAGAGTTGCTGTGGTGTAATATTGCTCAGCAAGTATTCCCCTCCCACTGCCACTCTCCTTCCCTGTTTTTCAAGCTGTGGGCTTGGCCACGTGCCTCACTTTGGCCAATGGGATGTGGACCAAGAAGTTCGCGTGACATTCAAGCACCAGCGTCGGGGCTTTGCAGGTTACCCCTTCAGATGACACTGCAGAAGCCCGTGGACCTTCACTGTGGGTCCTGGAAAAAGATATGCAGGAGAGGCTGCATCCTGAAACCATGTTCAGCCTGAAGAGGAGCCGCTGCTGCGACCCGAAGACCACGAGCGAGAAATTAACATTTATTATTCTGAGCCATTGGGGGGTGGGGGTGGGGGTGTTGTCTGAAAGGGGGGAATTATGCAGGCGCTAATACAGTTGCGTATTCCCAATCTGAACAGAGGCGGTAATATCATTTATCTCCCAGGAGGCAGCTGAGCTTAGTGTCAAAGCTCAAACTTCCAAGATCTCTGACACAGTCTAGTGCATCCCCTTTCCAGGTCCACCTCAGCACGCTTCCACCTTTCAAGGAAATCCATTTCTGGGTTAAAGTCTATCTCCTTTCTCTTCCTCCCTTCCGCTTTAATTTTAATCCTCACCCGAGGACTTTTTGTTGTTGTTGTTCAGATAGAGCGGGAGGGAGAGAGAGAGAGAAACATCAACGTGAAAGGGACACATCCAGTGGTCGCCACCCACACCACCCAATCAGGGCCGGGGACAAACTGCAACCGAGGTACATGCCCTTAGCGGGAACCGAACCCGGGTCTCTCTGGACCGCAGGCCGACACTCTAACCGCTGAGCCAAACCGGCCAGGGCCCGCTTTAATTTTAAGTACAAATTATTTCACTGTTTCCACTTTTTATGGTAATATTTTTGTCACTTCAATTCAACTCCTTCCAGATGCAGTTCATTACACTCCCCAAGCCTTCAATTTGGCCACTCAATCAAAAGTCCGGAGTATCTGGGGGCTCTTCGACCAAGCAGCTCCACTTTCAGAAGTTTAGCCAGAAGAGTCATCAGACAAATATATAAAAATGCATGTACAAGGATGTAAAATATAAGAGACAACTTCAATGCCAACTGTAAGGGATTGTTTAAATAAGGTGTGTCAATCTAATGGGATACTCACATGACAACTATTAAAAGCGATTCAGTAAAAATGTGTTTATTGATATAGAAAGGAGAGGTCTACCAAACGAAATCAACAGTAAAACCCATTTTGTGAACGCAAACGACATGTCTAGAAATACATATGCCAGTTATTTACAGCGGTTATTTGTGGTTGTTAGAATTATGGGTGATTGTTATTTCATTTTGCATAGTTTTCTTCTTTTTGCGAACTGTGGTTCCTAATATTTGCCAAAGAATGTGTTTTACTTTTGTAGGAAAAAAATTAAACAGATGTGTTGTTTTGATCCTCACAACTGTTTCGAATGAATAGAAAGGACCTCTTTTTTCCCTCTCTCTCTTTAAATTTCTTTTTTTTAATTTTTAATTTTATTTTTTATTAATTTATTTATTTTTGTTACAGATGTTTCTCCTTTTCCCCCCACTGATTGCCCCCTCCTCGTAAATTTATTTCAAATACATAAATACTCAGGAATTGGGGTAAGTGAAGGGTTTTAACACAAAGAAGGTGACAAGGATGGTGATGGAGGTGGTTCTGTTTACCAGGGAGACAGCAAAGGCCAGGCCTGCATGAGAGAGAGGGGCCTGAAGTGCAGGATTAGCACAGATGTAGGTACACAGGTGGAAATGGACTTCCTCCTGCACCCTTCCTGGCAAAGTTAAGCACTTTCTGACTGAGCTTGGGGTTTGCATTTCCCGAGGGAGTACAGATCAGCTCAACATGAAAACAATGGTCACTTCCCAGTCCTAGAGTTTCTCTTCCTACAGAGTCCTGGTTGGGGAGGAAGGAGCAGATGCAATGGAGGAAAATTTCAATTCATCACATTCTGCCCATGTGAGTCAGAAGTGAGTCACCTTTTGTTGCTTAGAGATCAATTTAGGAAAACTAAAGTGATATGTCAAAGGTCACACAGAAAGCTGGTGGTGAAGTCAGAGTTTGACTTTCAGCCCAATATATAGTCTACTCATGTCATTTCAGTAATTTGTGAGAATACTTTTATGATGGTGTCAGCAGTGACAAAGTTAACTCAGAACTGGAGAAAAAAGCCATCCTCAGCCTAAGCAGCTGTCTGAGTCAGTGGAACCCCATGTAGATAAATGGTCCCTAGAAAAAAGGTGGAATGCTTCATGAATGTGCATGTCGTTCTTATACAGGGGCCATGGTCATCTCTGAACCGGTCCAGCTTTAGTACCTGTATTGCCCAAGAGGACACTTATTGCTGACCACGGCATGAGTTCTCTACCTCTTTTAGTGTTCCCATCTGAAATAAGCAATGTAAATAAATACAATCAATAAGATTAAAATGATGATATACAGGAAGAGGGATATAACAGTAAAATATTCTGAGGTAAAACTGTTAAACAATCAGGTAAGCTAAAGATCGCAGCGTAAGACTGCCGGACAAACGAGCTAGAACGGCAGTGGAGAACAGAGCTGCACATCTGCATAGCAGCCCTACCGGGAAGCCCCTGGGCCTGACCATCGTGGAGCAGAGGAGGTAAACGAGGGTGTGCTGGAGGAGCTGACAGCGTGCATCACTTCTTGACAGCATTCAGTGAAATCAACCAGAGTGCAAGTATTTACCATAAAAATCAGCAAATGCTATAAATCAGGGCTCTTGTCCTCAGAGAACTGGTTGTTAAATGTTTACCAGCATAGCACTCGCCGGTTTGGCTCAGCGGTTAGAGCGTCGGCCTGCGGTCCAGAGAGACCCGGGTTCGGTTCCTGCTAAGGGCACGTACCTCGGTTGCAGTTTGTCCCCGACCCTGGTTGGTCGTATGGGTGGCGGCCACTCGATGTGTCCCTTTCACGTCGATGTTTCTCTCTCTCTCTCCCTTCCTCTCTCTCCCTCCCACCCTACCTGAACAAAAAAAAAAAAGGTGGGAAAAAAAAAATGTTTACCAGCACAATTGCTGAGACAAACCATATACAATCTAGGGACTGTCAAGAAGTGTTGGAAGAAGTTCAAAAGTATACAAACCCTTTCCCAAACCACTTCACCTCACTCCCCCTGCCCACCACAGTGCCCCAGGACTCTCAGAAAACCCACCTCCCAAACACTGGCTGGTTATGCCCAAGCAGGAAGCCCCCCAGGGTCCGTTAAGCCTGAAAACAGGGTACATTCTCAAAGAGAAGAAAACGAATGAATGAAAATCCGACTCCTGCCACGCACAGGGCATGCCACCTCTCAGCACAAAGTGAAACTTGAACTATCCCTTTGAACTTATGTGGAAAATATAAAGGAAATTAAAAAGGCCTTTAATGGCACTTGAACTTGTAGAAGAGCAAATCTAACTTCCTTTATGCTTTTTCTCTAACATCTGCAGCTCTGTCTTGAGTAGAATTGCAGATGGTCTTTTGTTACTTTTTTTTTTTTTTTAAATGTCTGGAGAAACAGCTCAGCTTTCAAAGGAGAATTATTAAAATAATTCCGGGTAAGATATAAAATCGTCCACTTTTCCCAAGCCATCAATTCTTTCTGCATTATCATAAACTCTCAAGCTTAGCTATTTTCCTCCCCTCCCCTCCTTGGCTGCACTGTTACAACAGTGTGGGTTCAAGGGGCACCATCTCTTCTGATTGGGTTTCTGTGGGACAAAAAGGCAAGGAGATGGGGAAAGAGAGAGAAAGGGTGACTAGACAGCTCCATCGAAATGACATCCTATTTTACTGTCTACATGGTTGGCATTTTTTTTTTATCCTCACCCGAGGACATTTTTTTTTCATTTTTGGTTCAGATAGAGTGGGAGGGAGAGAGAGGAAGAGAGAAAAAGAGAGAAACATTGACGTGAAAGGGATACATTGAGTGGCACGACCCAACCAGGGCTGGGGACAAACTGCAACCCATGTACGCGCCCTTAGCGGGAACTGAACCCGGGTCTCTCTGGACTGCAGGCCCGACGCTCTAACTGCTGAGTCAAACTGGCCAGGGCTGGTTGGCATTTTTTATGTTGGAGTGTTTGTTTAAGTCTTGTATCCATGTAAGCTCTGTTGGTGCTGTTTGTAACATCCCTTTAGGAACAATATAAAGCTTAATTAAATGTCTGTAATATGTAGAAAAAGAAGTTTTAGATCCTGAGAATTTTTTTAAAACAAGGTAAACTCCATATTTTGGTGAAAAATAATACGTTAATGTTTTCATTATGAAAGCGTCCGTGCATATTAAAGAAAATTTAATGGAAGCATAGAAAATACTAGGAATCACCAGTGTCTCATAATCCAGCCACAAGGGGTGCTTTCATTTTGGTCGGGTTGTCTCCAATGACTAGTTATGTGTGCTCGCGCGAGCTTGTGTGTGTGTCTGTGTGTGTGCGTGCACATACGTGGGCACGGATGTGGGTGTTCATGCAGATACAGAGCGAAAGATGCAAACGGGCAGCCTTTGGACCCCCAAAACTCTAGCATGTTTTATTTGGCCCATGCAATACATTTATAATTTAATTTAGAGTTTAACATGAAGAAATGAAATCCAGATTTGGGAGTTTTCTTGAAAAACTGAACCTGCATTCCCAAATGGCAGGAGCTGAAGAGAGGCTGTTGCCCTTAGAAGGGCATGTGCTGGCCAATTTGAAAATGGTTCCAATGCAGTTTGTTTTATTTGTTTATGCTGCCTGTCTGGCTCCTGGAGATATTTTAAGTTTGACGCCCTAGATGTAGAGTTTTGGGTGTGTTTTTTAAAATCATTGCATTCGTTTTGTATGCAATTTTATGCTCAGCTCCTTTCTTTAAGCAATATATCATTCACCTTTCCATATGTCTTCTCCAGTGTACATACTGTTGTACATTGAAAGTGCATACACATATAAAGAAAAGAGTATTATTTGGAATATTTCCTTCCAATTTTTTTTATCCTCACCCGAGGACGTTTTTCCTTTTTTGTTCAGACAGAGAGGGAGGAAGAGAGAGAGAGAGAGAGAGAAACATCAATGTGAAAGGGACACGAGTGGCTGCCTCCTGCACAACCCCAACCGGGGCTGGGGACAAACTGCAACCGAGGTACGTGCCCTTAGCAGGAACCGAATCCCAGTCTCTCTGGACTGTGGGCTGACGCTCTAACCACTGAGCCAAACCGGCCAGGGCTCCTTTCAATTTTTTAATGCAAATATCTTTTTAATAGTGGGAATCATACTGTACATACAGTTTTCTCTCCAGCGTTTCCACTTTTCCTTATATTTTAAATACCTTCGGTACTCATCACTTATAGCAGCTTAGTTGACTTAGTCTTTCCCCCAGGGTTGGATATTTAGGTTTTCCTTTTTCTGTCATAATGAATATCTTTGTGCTGAAAGGTTTTTTCTGTATTAAAGATTCTTCTGCTAGGACGCTTTCTGAGGAATGGGCTGTGCATTTAAAGGATACAAGCAATTTTAAGGCTCTTGATGTGTGTTGTCAAATTGTATCCCAACAGGGCTATCCCTGTTCTATGTGAGAATGTGTTTCCTGACACCTTCCATAGCATTAAATGTAACGTTCATTACTGATACGACACAGAAACATAGCACCTTGTGGTTTTAATTTGCATTTTTCTCCTCCTCAAGAACCCAAGTTTGTCTTTTGAAAAGAGCAGAACACCAAGGAAAGAGAATCTCCAATTCAAAAGGACAGCCGTGGGAAGGTCACAGCCATGAAGGTCGAGGCAAGGGCTAGAGGCAGAAACCAGGAATCCGCCGCTGACCCGAAGAAGCCAGGAGCAGAGGCACGATGAGGACAGGATGAGGCACAGGAGTCGAGGCCACGAGAGTCAGCCCTGGGAAAACCCGGAAGGTTCAGACAACTGTCTGTGATCCGACCTCGTAGCTAACGCCCACCATAGTTAAGTCCACAGAATACTGATTTTTTTAATCTTCTAGTGTGCGGTGTTTTCAGGTCCAAAGTCCCAGCGAGGCCAGTAGTGGGGCAGGAGGGCACTTTAAATTTTCCACCCTGGGTAATTTCTCCATTTTTTATTATTTTCCCCAATTCATCCTACCAGCTTAAAAATCCCTCTTGAAATAGGATTTGTCCAGAACCTACTGCCCTGAATGCAAATCATTTATTTAACCCACAGAAGCATTTAACCAAACTAGAAACCAAGTAGAAACCCAGTGCTGCCACCGACCTGGACTGTGGAGCCTGAAGGAAAATCACCCAGCACAGGAAGGAGCCGCCAACGTGGCCAATCAGACGCCAGGGCCAAGGGCAACACAGGGAGTGGCTGCAGCTCACCGCCCCAGGCTATTTATTATTGCCCCGGGATCAAAAATATTTTCACTTTTTTTCGGTGAACATTTCATAAAGCCAAAACTTGAAGGGAAAAGGGAAATATGAAAACCTGAAACCTCATATGAATAAATAAATATACTTTGCCACAGCAATCTGTAATCTGTTGAAGGGGTCAGTTGTTTCCAGATTTAATTTGAAATTTATTTCATTCAAGGAGTTTTTATTAGTTTCCACCTTTGGGCTTTAGGATTTGATTCTCGTGATCTTACTGCCTGGGAAACTGAGAGGGAGGAGCATAAATTACAGTTGTCCCTAGCTCCAATATGTTAATATGAGTAATGATCTATACATCAGCGCTAGCAAAGCTAAGGGAGATTATACAGTATTGTCTTTCTCTGACTTATCCACTTAGCATAATGCCCTTGAGGTTCATCCATGTTGTCACAGATGGAAGAATTTCTTTCTTTTTATGGCTAAATAATATTCCAGTGTGTTTGTGTGTGTACACACCCAATTTTATTTATTCATTCATCAGTGGACCCTTAAGTTGCTTCCATGTCTTGGTTACTGTTTGTTTTTGTTTTTTTAATGTTTTTATTGATTTTTAGAGAGAGTGGAAGGGAGAGGGAGAGAGAGAGAGAAACATCAATGAGAGAGAACATCTATTGGCTACCTCCGGCATGCCCCCCACTGGGGATCAGGCCCACAACCTGGGTATGTGTCTTGACCGGGAACTGAACCAGCAACCTCCCGGTGCATGGGTCAATACCCAACCACTGAGCCACACTGGCCGGACCATGTCTTGGTTATTGTAAGCAATGCTGCAATGAACGTAGTGGTTCAGTTATCTCTCTGAGATGGAGATTTCATTTTTTCTTAGGACAAATACCCAGAAGTGGGAGTGCTGGATCACATGGTAGTTCCATTTTTATTTTCTTGAGGAACCTCCATATGGTTTTCCACAGCAGCTGCACCAATTCACATTCCCAACAACAGTGCACAGGGTTCCCT